TACATTTCCACTAGCATCAGTAAATATACTTTCATTAGCATCAGGAGGAACAAACAGAGAATCAGGTTCAAGTTCAAACTCAGGCTGAACCCCAACACTCTTAGAAATGTATCAAAAATGTATTACAAACAGCCACCCCTCTGTGACCCTGTTCAGATAATCTCCTGGGAATGGAAAAGGTTGGGCAAATCCCTCTGGCTATTTCCCAAGCCAGGTAATCATCAGATTCATTGTGTGTATGCAGAGATAGGTGACTTCTTCATTTGCTAGTCTAATAAATCCCAAATTTTGGTACAAGTCACATGAAGCTGAGAGTCTGCCTCTTCACGGAAATAAAAGCTTAGAATAACTGCATTTGTTAACTCTTTTATTGACGACAAAGCCCTTGATTACCCAAGATCAGCACCTTTGTCCCTTGAGTCTTGCACCTTTGTTTCCTAAGATCCATATCTTTGTTTGGCTTGGAAATGGACATTTGAGCTCACCAAAAGCTCATCAACATAATAGTAGTAGTAGTAGTAGTAGTAGTAGTAGTAGTAGTGATAATAATAATAATAAATTAATAGTAATAATATATATTAATATAAAATATATAAAATGCAAAAGAAGGCTCTCCATGGACAGTTCCTGGGAAAAATTGAGAGCCAAACTGACAAAGAAAAAACATGGCTGTGTCTCACAAATGGAACTTTGAAAAAGGAGACAGAGGGCCTGATTCTGGCAGCCCAAGAACAAGCCATTAGAACCAATGCCATCAAAGCCAGAATTGAAAAGTCAACAACAGATCCCAAATGTAGACTCTGCAAGGAAGCAGATGAAACAATAGATCACATCCTCAGCTGCTGCAAGAAGATCGCGCAGACAGACTACAAGTAGAGGCACAACACCGTTGCTCAGATGATTCATTGGAACTTGTGCCACAAACACCATCTGCCTGTGACAAAGAACTGGTGGGATCACAAGCCAGAAAAAGTTACAGAGAATGAACACGTCAAACTCCTCTGGGACTTCCGAGACAGTTTTGGAGCATAATACTCCTGACCTCACAATTGTATTAAAAAACAAAGTATGGATCGTCGATGTCGCAATCCCAGGGGACAGCAGGATTGAAGAGAAACAACTGGAAAAGATGACACGATATGAGGATTTAAAGATCAAACTGCAAAGACTCTGGCACAAGCCAGTCAAGGGGGTCCCAGTGGTGATCGGCACACTGGGTGCAGTGCCTAAAGACCTTGGCCTGCACTTAAACACAATCAGCGCTGACAAGATTACCATCTGCCAGCTGCAGAAGGCCACCTTACTGGGATCTGCACATTATTCACCGATACATCACACAGTCCTAGACACTTGGGAAGTGTCCAACGTGTGATCCAATTCAACAGCCAGCAGAGTGTCTGCTGTGGACTCATCTTGTGGTGTTTAAAATAATAATAGTGTTCTGGTACGGCTGTACCAGGAGCTCCAACTTTATTTTCTTTCTGTTATCTGTTTTGCAGTCATAGGGCAGGCCTCCTGTCCATCATAATTAAGCTTTGGTTCCGCCCCTTGTTCTGGGCTCTGGGAGGGAAAGGAGCCATTTTTTGGGCAGTCTCACACAAGGTAGCTAAGCTATAGGACGTAGACCAGCTCGTCCCGTAGAAAAGCTTCCTTTCTCAATAACCATCCAGGGAAAAATAACCATCCAGGGGAAAAGGGGGATACAGAAACAGAAATTCCAGGAGAAAGGTCCCAAAGGCTCTGGCTGAGAGCTCACAGCCTCTCAGCCTCACAGCAATTAGAGGGAAAACAGCCCTGAAGTTTCTAAGAATTCTCGAAGGGAGAACAGCATTACAGACCCACGGAACTCCATCTGAAATATCTTCAAGCCTCGGCTGGTAGGTCTACTCAATACCCAGATGCATTTGGACTCGGTAGTAGGGCCCACACCGATGAGGCATAGATAGTAAACATCCTGGGAGAGGTTAAAAAGGGTTTTTCCTACAGAGAAAGTTTAGTTAATCCAAGTCAGGTACCAGCCCATTGAGGACTAGACTAAGAAAGCCTTGAAGTGTTGTTTGAACCATTGAAGATGTGTTGTTTGTTCCATAATAAAGACTTTGTTGCATCATTAAAGACTCTAAAGACCATCACTTCAGAAAAATCCCTGAGAACCTCTCTTCGAGGCATCCCTGGCTTCCTGCTGGGCTCTAAGTATACGTCCTATAGAAAGGTACAGCTGTTAAAGGCCCAGCACGCGACAGAACAAATAGTAGTAGTAGTAGTAGTAGTAGTAATAATAATAATAATAATAATAATAATATTTGAACTTTCAACTTGCAAACAGGACCAGGAATACTGGACTCAAATACATTCAGTGCTGGAGGAAATCATAAAGGTTGTATTTACAACGAGACAAGAGTTCTTTCTGTTGGAAATGTTGGACAATCAACTAGAAAGAAAACACGGAAGATCCTTGCAATGTATGCCAACTGCAGCCAGAATCATCTCTGCTCAGAGATGGAAGGAACCCGTTTTTCCTGATGCAAGGAAAACGGCCAAGGAAGATCCGCAAAAGGAGAAATCTTTGACGTGTTTGTCACCTTTTCTCAGCAAGGATGGGTGTAAATGTCAATTGTAGGATTTACGAATGGGATTAATGTTATTAGAAGAGGAATGGTTATATAAGAACACTTAAAGGCGGGGGGAGGAGCCACCATGGCCGGGTAGCAGACGTCTCCTTTGCAGCTCCCGAGAAAAAGAGCAGAATGCAG